AATTTTTAAAAACTGACACCGGATTCGTAATCAGCGACCCCAAAAACTCTCTAGATATCATCTTCAGATTATTTTATACTGTTAATTACTCAGAATTACATTTATTTTAAAAAAAATCGTTATTTTTAAATTAATTTATTTATAACGTTCAATTAATTAACAATAACATTTGTTTTCTTTTTTATTTCTATGAAGGGATGTTCTCTAATACATTTTATATGCTTTTTGTCATTAAAACTAATTAAATAGTGTTTCAAAAATGTAAAAAAGTGTACAGAAAAAGGTGTCACTCAGGAGTGACACTATGCCGCAAAGGGTTAAGGATTTTAATGAGGTAGCTTTACGATAATTTGCCGAGAGTCTCTATATGATATTCTGTTGTGGTTGTGGTGGTTGTAAGTTTCCGAAACGTAATTAATTGCATGAGCGTTTCTCTACTACCTCTGTAAATTCTTCGAATCCTTTGACATAAAGCACGTGCCATGGTAAGATATTAAAATCGTCAGCCTACTATAGACATGAAAATAATCTTTTAGGAATTTAATGTTTTCCCATAAAGTTGTCTTAATTACATATAATTTTACATACTTTGTATACACATTTACATATTTTTTTAGCCGCATTTATCCTGATTATCGGATCGAAATAATCAACATATATCAAAACTTTCCTCTGACAATTTAAAACGATAAAAAAAGTTTGGTTTTAAAAAAAAAAGACAGCTAAAATAATATTTTTTTTTCTTCTATCAGAGAATCATTTGGGTTAAAATAATATCGCTTTGAAAAAATGTGATACAAAGTTATAATATATAATCTGGAATAACATTCAAAATCATAATTTAAAAAAAGAGGGACTAACTTCACTAAACTCTAAAAACTGTGCAGTAAAAATTGTGCACATCAGTCAAAGGATATTCACGTTGCGATAAGGCACACTATTTCACTTTGAAAATCAAATACCGAGTTCTTTGATGTCATGACATCTCCGGCATGACATGTTTATATGTACAGGGTATCCTAGATCACCATTCTCAAACTTTGCAAGAGCGCAGAACGGATTAAGATGAGCAAAAAATTAGTTTTAGAAAATCAGGTGAGAAAGAGAGGAGCGCTCGAGTCGCTCGAGATCTAGCGCGGTTCAATTAATTAAAAAACGGTTGGCGGAGCGCAGCGAAGGGAAAGACAAGCGCCGCTGCCCGTGCTTGTCTTTCCCCTCACCGCGTTCCGCCAATCGTTTCTGGATTAATTGAAACGCGTTAGATCTCGAGCGACTGAAGTCGCTCGAGCGCTTCTCCTTTCTTCATGCAATTTTCTAAAATTAATTTCTCGAAAACTATGGCGAATATCGCACAACAAAACAGTATGGAACTTTCTTACCTCAATCCGTTTTGCGTTCTCGCAAAGTTTGAGAATGGTGGGACATTCTGTATAGGAACTGTTTCCATTATCATATTCTCAAGCTCGTAATATCTGACATTTCAGGTAACGGCTAACGTACTATTGATTTCTGATAATATCGAAAAAGTGTGAGAAGATATCTTTATCCGATGTCTGGAAATCTTCATTAATATTGACAATTGCATCGGCATGTAATTAACACGATCTGCATATTTCACATACCGCCTACTGTTAATAGTGTGATGCTTTCGTGATGTTTAAAATTATTTCAGACTCTATCGCGATAAAATGTTTGAATAACTCGTCAAACACACTGGCATAATGCGCAAAACATAGATTTAATTTCACTCAATTCGTCGTAAATTCAACAAGCTATTATTCAGTTAGCAGCAGACTTTTTCGGAATACGAATTCCTGTAGACCGCAACAAGGATATCGCAGCCATATATATTTTTCTCTTTTTTATACGATTCGCGTATTTGTTGGACAATACAAAGAGTTGAGCCGTACATTCTGTCACTCGCTTTGCTTTGAACTGCGACGATACTCGCGAACGGAACTTCTCGCGAGCGACGGCAAACAGTCGCCTGTTCGCCGCGTCTGCAAATTGCCGTCGGCTCCCGGACACGCCACAAAGATTTCCGCGAGAGTTGGGCGCCAGGTACGGAAAGGCCGCACCACCTCGATAAACGCGAGAACAAATACTTGTCACAAAAGATGCGCGTCCCGGAACCGTCGGGACCGGTAGCTCGTGTTAAATTAAAGTCGGAGACGGGATGGACTAGGAGGCGAAATCACTACTCTCGATAACGGTAATAAAGAGACGTTTATTTGGGGACTCTCGCACGTCCCGATAGTTAATGTACGCGAGACGATATAATTCGCGAGACGGTACACGAAACCCGAGGACGCTTTCCTCGGGCGAGCCTTCTTTATCCGCGCGACCACTCCGCGGACGAGACACGACGATACGATACGCGGTACAATTATACTATCGGGTCTCGTCCGGATGGAATAACTATGTAGTAGTCTCCCTGCCTGCATTATCAACAGAGTTTACCAGTCTTCCACTAGAAAAGAAAAGCCCGGCGCGCGCTGGCGCCACGCGCGTCTTGCTGCGTTACGCACGCGCGCCGTGTCATTGTTTTTTCTGTTCTATGCAGAGTCGACAGAGTTTTTTTTCGTTGTCATTTTTTCTTTTAAGTGCAACTTTCCAGCATGCCCCGTCACAAGAGGACCCGTTCCCCGCACCTGAAAAGGGGTAAGCGTCGACATCGGGAGAGATCTCGCGAGAGATCTTCTCACAGACGATCACGATCACATTCTAACCTCTCTCGCC